CACACTTAATTACCTACGAGCACCCGTCCGTATGCTGCAGTAGTGCGGAAACGTAATTGAGTTGACCGCACACTGTAATTTATTCTCCATTTGATTGCATTGCTCGAATGGCTGAGTAATTTAATAAGCAACTGCTACTTAAAGTGCTGAAAGTCACGCGCTGTACTCGGGCTCGCTACCGCCAGGAGGAGTCCACAAGGGTGGACCGAGATGACATGGCTGCCGAGACCGAGGCCTGTGTACGTGAGGATGCCTCGAATTGGCAGTAATGTCAGGAACTATATTTTGTTCCTCCTATTATCCGAGGGGTTATCCACAAATCCACCTCACTGATCCGCCGAATCCTTTTTGGAAGAATTTTCTGCTTAACCAATTTTATCCGTGGCAAACTTGCGCACAATTGGAGCTATGTTATGGAATTTTTGTTGTTCATGTGCATGCAGACCAAAGAGGGACTTGGTCAAGACCTGCATTTAACTAATCTGTGGATAATTGGAAATACTCGCTTCATAACCCCATCTTAACGGTACGAGAATGTGCCATTATTGGAAGCTGTTCTGCAATGAACTGTGGAAAAGTTGCTCACAATTGGAAAATTATGGCCTCAGACAACAGGAGTTATTCTGGACCCAGTGGCTCCTGGAGATAATAGGAGTTGTGGGTAATAGGGTGACGGATAAGAAGAGTTATCTTACATCAAGGCCATGTGCCTATGTAGGACACGTAACTTGCTAGTTCACCACTGCAGATATTCACGGATTAGGGATGGTCCAATTTCAACAATTCCTGTTGTGATCTGATTACAATTGCTATTGTCCTTTGTGTTCTGTATCGCAGTGGCTGAGTCTACTCACTTGAGGGCTGGAATTGTTCAATTTGTGACGGAGAGCTCAAGCCCAGCCACTATGAACGTTGGGCTTTCTTTGTTAGAATGTGGGTAAATTGCTCCAGATATTGGTAAATCTAACATGCACACATTAATGTGTTCATATCGAATGAGGTTATACCAGAATCATTTTGGCACAATGTTTATTTTAAATAGGCCTCAAGCTGTAGGCCTCAGGATATGATGAGATTATAATGGGAAGATTATAATTGTGATTGATGAATGATTGTGATTTGCTATACCTAATGAAATCAATGCATGAGTTAATTTAACTACAAGCCGAGATAAATATTAAAAAAAGTATTTTTTTGTTGCAAAACTTAACCAACATTCATTGAGGACACTGATAAAAAAAAATTCAAGCCTCCAATTTAACACCACCTCTACTTATGTCAGCAATAAAGTAGAATTAAACTTTGTATTAATGATCATGGTAATTAGGGTAGGGCTTACATAACAGCAAATAAAGCAATTTTAGCCGGCAACATTCCAGGTTTTTTTTATTTTTCTGCTTAGTTGTCATTGATATTCATTCTGGAGGACATCGACTTCGTATACCGTCAGCAACATTGAGGCTCAAGCTAAAATGACAAAATCTAACACAGTTAAGACGCCCTCTTCATGGTTACTTTTACAATGTTATCCGTGTCATCATTCTCATGTACATGCTGTAGCACAGACTTAAGTGTATCGACATTATCCGTGAATATCCAGTTTGCTCGAATAATAGGTGACTAATATATGTAAGTACAGTACATCAAATAGGATGCCAACCTCTTTGGGCATTGCTCAGTTACTTGTTTTTTCCCATAATAAATTATCAAAGGATCATAATTCAGGACCTCATTAAAAAGAGTTTTGAGACTCAGTGAGGCTTCCCTGGATATTGTATCACGTATGTTCAACTTCTTTTGCACCGTACGTAGCCAACTGCGCTAATCGGAGGTGCGGGAAAAAGGACTCTTGTTGTTGAATCATCAAATTATAGGAGCGGAAGATGGCAGCCTTCACGCGGCCCGCTCTGTTGAGTGAGAAATCACGACGAATACCGTCAACGCGGCGACCGAACATCCATCATCGATATCCCGGTCTCCAGAGCAACAACGCAAGCCACGCCAATGGCCCTCTTCAGGGCCAAACAGATGGGCCCTGCATGCTCCGACTGAACACTCAGGGACTTCTCCTGGGTGAAATGCGAGCATCTTGCGAATGTAATGAAAACCCGTAACATTATGTCAGCGGCACACTCCTGCTGCTCCTGACGCAGGTTGTCTGGCTTGACCACCTCAATGTGAAATTATAGTTGTTGCTCTGCGTCTACATAAGCCATCATGTAATACAAATTTGGGGTTCAATTTCCATCGAAGGTGATTACAACACATGCATATCCCTTCATCATTCAAGTACCTGGTGGTGAATTAAGTTCGCAAATGAGTACACGAGCAAGTCCCTGGGAATATTTCTTATGTTGGGATGAAAAGGAACGTGACAAACTTCATCCCTCGAACAATGGTTTTCAAATATGGGAAATAATACAATTGATGTGGCATTTATTGCGTATTCGAGACAGTGAGAAATATATGCAGTAAAATATTTAGAACAAGAAACATTACACTCCATCATGCATTTGCATACGTACAGTATTACGCATGAAGCGATTACATAATGGTAGGGCACACTTTCTTGGGAGTTTTTTTAAAGGTATTTCCTTTTTTGTTTCAAGGTCAGTACCAAGGTTTTTCAAAGAGGTATTTTTGGAAAACTGCCCAAAGTTTAATTTCATGGGGGAAAAAATCTAGATTTTCGGAAAACTGCCCAATGTTTAATTTCATGAAAAATAATAATCAAGATTTTTTAAAAAACCCTCTGCATATTTCGCCATTTTTCTCCACCCCCACCTAGCAAACACTAATTAGATTTTCATAATTACTCTTGGTTAATTAGAAAGTATAACAATGCAGAGAAACCATTCGGCTGTTGCAGCTGAATTTTCCTTTGAGGCTGAGAGTAAGTGGGGATTGGAGAGAAAACCATCAACCCATTCATTATCAGAGCATCACACACTGCATATTAATTGCCCAACATTGATACACTTGAATTGCTTGGTCATTTTAAAACCTCTATAAAGAGTATCCAACATGAAGCTACAAATACAATGCTGTCAAGCTGTTTATTTTCTTCACAGTAACCTCTGACCGCTTCGAGTACTCATCTGAATAATGCATTCATAGTCTTAACATACTGTGGGTTGAACTATGCAATGATTTAGCCGCCGGTTCTGAAGTGATGTTTGATATGAGCCTTGTCATAGGTGATAATAATGATGAGAACTGGATACCATATATGCATATTTTCCCACAAATTGGATGCGAGGGAAGGCAATTTACAATTTTCAGAATTTTGATTGTCAGTAATTGGGTTCACCATAATTAGCCACGTGATTTTTTCTCTCTCTCTCTTTTTCTTCGCCCACAATTGTATCCAAATTGTGCTATTGGCGTCATTTCACGAGACAAAGAGTTCATTCGGATCTCTCAGAGAGCACGCTACTGTATTACATCGCACTGGATGGCTTCAAGGCAAGACTAGGCAAATGATACTGAGATGAAAGGATGATTGCCAAACGTGGCGCTGGAGCGAGAAATGAGAGAGGTGAGCACCTATTCGAGTCCGCAGCTAGCGAAAGAATGAAAATAATGAATACCTTTTTTTGGCTACAGGAGGAAAACTGAAGGGCCTGGAGGAAACCAAATGCAGAACAAGGGGGGGGGGGGAACAAACAACTCCACGGAGAAAGGCACCCCGGGTTGAGAATCGAACCAAGGCCCTCATTTTCTATGAGGCACCTGTGCCGCCTTGGTTCATGTCGTTCATTGCCAGGTCAAGTTAAATTAAAATAACGGGACAAGTGACGGCAGGATATTCCTGTAACTGCTGCTTGCAATGCCTGGGTTCAGCACTGGACCTGCTGTGGTGCCTTTGGGACGAGCACGGACCGTTACCGGTGACAGCGCAGCTAGGCAGCCACGCAGACAGCCAGACAGGCAGCAAATAAGCCAGTGCTATTTGCGAAAGTGTTTTTGTTACTTGCACTTGTGCACAATTGCGCAGTATCACCAAATAAATTGGCCAATACTGTTAGAAAATGGCCCATGGAAATAGCTATCACAAATCTATCTCTGAGATTCCTTCAAATGGTTTCTGAACAACACAGTAGAGCAAAGAGATTGTCTGCTCCCTCTGCATATGAGAGTAATGTTCATCGCACGACAGTCAAACCAAAATGTAATTCTCAGTTGGAATTTAGCCAAAACTAAGTGGAGAATAAAATGTGATGGGATTTTTTGCGCAGTCATTGGTGACCAGATATGAAATCAGTGATGCCAGCTTCGTGCTCTGACCTCTAAAGATGCCCGGTCGTGACAGCTAATAAATGGGATAATCCAATGTAAAGGTAGCTGAGAGGAGCAGCGATAAGAGGATGATTGGTCAATTTGGCACGGGAGAAGAACAAGAAAAGAAAGCGTCTACTGGAGTACAGCCAGCAGGGACGTGTAGATAATTAACACATTTTTCAAAAATGAATCTAGAAAAGGGCCATCTAGGAGCCTAAATTGAGACATAAAAAAAATGTACACGATTTCCCAGAATTCCTAGCTCCTTCCTTTGCACGGCTGCTCTTATCTTGCACAGCAAACAAGCATAGTGATAAAACAGCGACCGCATAGGTTCGTTGCTGTTGTTGGTACTTGGTATTGCGTTGTGGAAAATACAAAATAAATCCTGCGCGTTAAAAAATTATCATCGATTGACAGGACACAACTTTAGATGCATTTTAAAACTCCCCTTCCAGCACTAACAAATTAAATCTTGTCAACCGAAACATGTTGCCGAGGTCGATCACACTTTACTTGCATAACGAGTACTTGTCGTGCCCCGAAATAATGTCAAGAGGTTAAAATGTAAATTGACAAATGGATTGCAAACCATAGCAAATGTTAGCGAGGCCATCAGATTTGTTGCCAAACTCCTAATTGAATGCTCGGAGAGTCATGTGCACCCGGGGCTCTGCATGGCTCATTACACACGGCCACGTGAAGTCGCTCTTCCTTACCGCAGACTTGGCATAAAGGTGGTCTCCCCAGAGAATGATCCCAGATGCTCCCTGAGAAACAGTCTCTCCAACGGTATGCATTAAATCCACCTGCGGAATGACAATGATGCAGGGTTAACGTGCGCAATCAAATGGGGGGCCGTGCAGCAATTCACGTCTCCTGGGGAATATCATGGCGGAGTAACACCGATGACACAAAACGCACAGTGTGCAAGCAACGTGTATGCTAATGCTGCGATGGTGTGATGGTTTTGCACGCTGCACTTGTAATCTGGAGGCTGCACGGGGTTGATTTCCTGGTGCTGCTGCCGTAACAGTGGCGCACGTTGCTCAAATCCACGCCCCCCCCCCAACCTCCGTCCACTCAGCAGTATCAGTGGGTGGGGGAAAGTTCGTCGCTGGGGTGAGGCGTTGATAATCTCACCCTCTTCGCAGGCATTTGGGCGGCATTGAAGGAGGCCAAATACCCTCCAGAGGGGTGATTCTAGAGTTGAAGGGCCTTCCGCAAGGAGTGGTTATTGACAAGCAATTGCAGGGCTGCGCCTTAGCACCATTCACACGCGCAAAGGGCTGCCTGCGACAGCAACAATACGTAGCGGGAAGCCAAGCGTGTTCTGGCACATCAAAAAGACACTCCCAATTCTTGCGCCCATTCCTCGAACATCCTTCGCGATGACTGACGACGGGCTTAACGATGCCAAGACTGTGGCGTTTTTAATTTCGACAGCAGAAGGCTGGACTGCACCGCAACAAGGAGTCATTGTTTGGACCAATCGTGGCAGTCGAGCCATCGTTACCTCCTGCTGCCATTTGTGCACGAGGAATTTGCAATGGGCAGCCCTCAAACGACACCGTGGGGACTAATCCGGCACACAGCATCGTGGCAGCGATCCAAGCAGAATGATATTTCGTTTTATTTTGGTTTCTACACATACCTAGGACCCATTCATTGCTTGTCGTAAAAGCTCTAGGGAAGTTGCACAAACATCTGGAAGAACAAGCATGGTGCATTATGATGAGATGGTGCGGGAAGGATGAGTGGGTGCAGGAGGTTGAGTGGGTGCAGGAGGTTGAGTTTGTGCAGGAGGTTGAGTTTGTGCAGGAGGTTGAGTGGGTGCATGAGGTTGAGTGGGTGCATGAGGTTTAGTGGGTGCAGGAGGATGAGTGGGTGCAAGGGGTTGAGTGGGTGCAGGAGGTTGAGTGGGTGCAGGAGGATGAGTGGGTGCAGGAGGATGAGTGGGTGCAGGAAGATGAGTGGGTGCAGGAGGATGAGTGGGTGCAGGAGGTTGAGTGGGTGCAGGAGGTTGAGTGGGTGCAGGAGGATGAGTGGGTGCAGGAGGTTGAGTGGGTGCAAGGGGTTGAGTGGATGCAGGAGGTTGAGTGGGTGCAGGAGGTTGAGTGGGTGCAGGAGGTTGAGTGGGTGCAAGGGGTTGAGTGGGTGCAAGAGGTTGAGTTGGTGCAGGAGGTTGAGTGGGTGCAGCAGGTTGAGTTTGTGCAGGAGGTTGAGTGGGTGCAGGAGGTTGAGTTTGTGCAGGAGGTTGAGTGGGTGCATGAGGTTGAGTGGGTGCAGGAGGTTGAGTGGATGCAGGAGGATGAGTGGGTGCAAGGGGTTGAGTGGGTGCAGCAGGTTGAGTGGGTGCAGGAGGTTGAGTGGGTGCAGGAGGATGAGTGGGTGCATGAGGTTGAGTGGGTGCATGAGGTTGAGTGGGTGCGGGAGGATGAGTGTGTGCAGGAGGTTGAGTGGGTGCAAGGGGTTGAGTGGGTGCAGGAGGTTGAGTGGGTGCAGGAGGTTGAGTTGGTGCAGGAGGTTGAGTGGGTGCAGGAGGTTGAGTTGGTGCAGGAGGTTGAGTGGGTGCAGGAGGTTGAGTGGGTGCAGGAGGTTGAGTGGGTGGAAGGGGTTGAGTGGGTGCAGGAGGTTGAGTGGGTGCAGGAGGTTGAGTGGGTGCAGGAGGATGAGTGGGTGCAGGAGGTTGAGTGGGTGCAGGAGGTTGAGTGGGTGCAGGAGGTTGAGTGGGTGCAGGAGGTTGAGTGGGTGCAGGAGGTTGCAAGCAGCATGCGCTCCTACACTTCCCATGCACATTTCTGAAAAGTTGCGGAGCAAAATACGTAACAGCGGTTTACATTTCACCTTCAGCGACGCAGACTCTGAGGGTAGAGCCCAGAGCTGAGCAGCTAGATTCCTCGTGACGTTGCTCAGCTTATCAGTGCATATGACGCAAACCTGCCCTCAGCTGCACCGGTGAATGATCATTTACCTCGCTACTATTTGCGGAAGTAGTGCTTCCACAGCCCAGTTCCAGCAGCCCACGAAAGTGGAAATCTCATTCCTTATTTCTTTCCGTGCGGCCAATTGGCCGAGCTGATGTCGTAAAATTGTTCCGCGGGCGAGAGTATTCCCCGCACTGAAGGAAATGGCGTGCATCGTTCAGTTGTTCACCCTGGTGAATCTCATCACGGTTATAATTTAATGGAGATAATTCTAGTGCAGATCGCTCTGTATTCTGTAATGATAGAACACTGGCAGTAATGCAATTACTCAGCCAAGCCCTGCAGTGAAACCTTTGCTATGCATTGTATTTTAGGATAACGTTTTACATTAAGATACAGACAATTACTTACAAACTCCCCACCCATGCATTGTGATGCTCGGTGCCAAGTTAAATACGAGGCACAATTTTAACTTGACCTTGGAATTACTTTGAGGTGGGGTTAATTTGATCCGTTACATGGATTGCTCCCGTTTAGCGAGTTCCCCGGCTATATTTACGCGGGAGATTCCATTGTGCGTGAGCACAGCAAAAGCAGCAGCAGCAGCGTGAACAAAAGACAAAAAAAAGTCAATATTGGTAAGAACGAGGACAGTGTCCTTGGGGAACATTGCCCAGCATGCTGCAAAAACCTACTTTCAAACTCAACTCATCTCCACGCCCATTTTTTTAGAACTGCTTTTTTGTGTTTAGTTTGTTGGCTACGTACGGTGCAGAAGAAGCTCAACATGCATACATCAGCGGCAGCGTTCTCATGCCAGCCCTAGCAGAGTATCTGCTAGGCCGCGAGTGTCTAGCTCAGTGTTCTGCACTCATTTTCAGAGGGAGGGGTGGGGGGGGGGGGGCACTTTTACCGATATGACATCATCAGTGCGAGGGCCGCAACACATTCAAATCCATTGGGGTTTGACGCAGAGGTCGCAACCGGGTACCCGATACCCGTACCCTACCCGATACCCGGCTACCCGTACCCGGCCCGGTACGGGTAGCCGTTTATGACCCTGGTGCGGCCGGATACGGGTACGGGTAGTCCGTAGTCCGTGAGTCACTGGTGAGTAACCGTTTGTCACTCATTTCGGGTACGGGTAGGGAACGAGAACCCGTACCTGGCCGGGTACGGGTACCCATTTGCGACCCTGGTGCGGCCAGGTACGGGTACGGGTAAGGAATCAAAACCCGTTTGCGACCTCTGGTTTGACGGCACGCTGATGACGGGGTGTTTTCACTCTTTGTGTATTGTCGGGGGCCGCACGTCAGGGGCGAGTCGGCCCACACACCTGCGAGAGGAAGTCGAGGGTGTAGGTGTAGACAATCCGTGCGTAGACCAGGACGGGAATGATGGAACCGGGCTTGGGCATGCTGGCCACTCGCATGGCCTCCTTCACGCGGTGGTGAACGAACTTGCGCACGTACTTCGTGGACTTGAGCGGCCTCTCCAGGTAGATGGACGGGTAGAGGGCCGTGCTGCTGTTCCAAAGCCAGAGCAACTGGTCGTTCCGCACACGCTCCACGTCTGGACACTGGCCCGTGTACTCTGGCCCCGTCTTGTTGTAGTCGTAGTTGTAGCAGTCCGGGAAGAGGTAGTAGCCCCAGAGACCGCCCGGCCTTTCGCTCTGCCCCACCCGCGCCGTTTGCTCCATGAAATCTCGCGCGGACTTATCAAACTCCTTCTGCGCCTCTTTGGCCACGAGGTCTTCGGGCCAGCTCGGATGAGCGTGCTTCACCTTTGTCTTGGACTCCTTCCTGTACTCGTCCTTCTTGCCCCAGTTTCTGCTCCACTGAGGCCTCCACTCTTCCCAGTCGATGACAGCCAGGCCCTCAAAATCCTTGCCTTTTATTTTCGCGCGGATGTCCTCCCGTGCTTTGCCCAGGTGCCCCGCGAGGTCACCGCTCTGCGGAACGCCGCCGTTTTTCAGTGCCCCGTGCTCGTCGATGTATGGGTAGTAACCCAGCTGCGTGTGGTAGAAGATGGTCATGTTGTCTCCGCAGAAGCACTCGTTGGGGTTGATGACGATGTCGAAGACGTTGAGGTCCAGGCTGATGTTGTAGCGCTTGCTGCACAACTCTGTGGGGGCGTTCCAGACCGTTGTGAAAGCCTTGCCTTTAAGGATGGAGCCCAGTTTCACCCCGTGCTGCTGCCGCTGGTGATGCTGCTGCTGCTGTGTAGTTGGTCTCCCCAGGAACACGAGCAGCCAGAAGAGTGACTTGAATAGGAAGAGGAGTTGTGCATTCATGATGAAGCCTGCAGATAAATACATTGATCGTCAGCGGCTTGCAACAAACGATGGTTTTAAATCGGTTGTCTGCATGGTCGAAACACAAATACTGTGATGTCAAAAAGTCAAATGTGTTTCCCACTAAAATGGGCATGGAGATTAAGTCATCTAACGTTTATAGCATTGAGCCGATGGTGGAAGTTCCGCGTTCCTACAGCGGATGCGAATCATATCAAAGCACAATATCTCAGTGGACCTGGTGCTCGTTTTATCAACCGTCGAGAACCGAAAGGCTGGAGTCAACCCTTTGACCACGATCTGATCTTGCAACCCACCGATTTGTATCACACGCGCTCTGACCACTGCGCTCTGAGCAATGAAACAACCGTGTCACCCGGTGAGGTTTACAAATGATGTGCTCAACTACATACATATATAATATAACCGCTTTGCCATCTGTGTGATGTGTCGTTATGTCTTGCCACTACGAGGTTGTATGCCGAGTGCGCACCTGAAGGAGATTGTAGAACACTCTGGTGTCGCACCTGCGGTGAAACCATTTTAACATCAAGAATGTTTTTACATAACACAAATCTGTACACTGCAGAACATTGTTGGAGATTATTCTGGCATGAAGCCAGTCAAAGCCAGTCAACTGAAATGCTTTGATCTTCCTTTCATCTTAGTGGCAGTTTCAAATACTTACTATTTTCATTTATCCTATTATTTGATGCGTTTACTAAAGCAGCAACTTGAAATTTTATAAATAAAAAGAATACACTAATAATAATTGTAAATCTACATCTGAAATCAGGTGTCCTCATGCCGTGTTGATCACGGGGCTTGTATAACCATACTTTACCACACTGGTCAGCATGGCTTGATGAAGGACCAGCCCAGGACCAGTTCAGATTTTACTCTTCACCGATTTTAGGCATGGCCAAGAATTGTATTTTTATAGGACGTATGTCACAACCATTCACATCGAGCTCAGTGGACAGATGCAAAAAAATAGCTGAGCTGAGTTTTTCTCACCCTTAAGAATAATGAGATTTATAACGCACGCAATTTTTTTTTTTTTTGCGGAGGTGTGAAGCCCAGCCGAGTGTCGCTCGAAAGCCAAGGCGAGAGACGTGGGGCCTTTATGCGTCTCTTAAAAGTCGGGGCAGATTGAATTCTGCTGCGGATCTGAAACGGGATGGCGTTCCAGACGGTGGGAGCTGTCACGGAGAAACGATGCCCAGGCAGTGAAGCTCCTCGTACTTGGTGGAGGGGAGAGCAGGAGGGGGAGGTTGCGAGTTACGCTGCTGCGGAGAGTTCTAACGTGAGCTGTAGTGCGGGGGGGGGGGGGTGACAGGAGCGGGGAGAGTTACGGTGGCTTCCACAGAGAAATAACGCCCGGCAGTGACAGTCCTTGGTATAGGGAGGAGGTTGTGAGTCACGCTGCTGTGTGTAGAATTTCACCGTGAGCTGTAGTGAAGGGTGACAGGAGCGCAGAGAGATACGATGGACGACACAGAGTGGAGGCAGGATGGCGATGGGAATCTAGCGGGAGGGAGCGGAGGGAGGCGAGGGAATGTAACCCGAGGATGATACTGACATTGATGCGGGCGCCAATTGTAGCCTCGTTTTCTTTTACAAACGATTTGAAAAACAAGCAAGGTGTGGCTACATAATTGCAACTTTATTGGCTTGAGCATCTTGTAAACTTGGCATAACCACACCATGAGGTTCATGCCCTTGGCAAGCACCTGCAAAATTAAGCTGAGCTTTCTTATCAGAAAATATGAAGACAGTCAGTGTATGGAGAAAAAAAGAATAATCCAGATATAATCGAGACAAATAAATTATTTGACTGTGGCTACGTGCCATTTGGTATTTGATTTGCATCTCCAATCAATTCACCTTGACTCTAGTCAAGTGCGCTGTTCCGGAGAGCGGTCGATTGAAAACAATTTGTTCAAGTTACAGCTCAGAATATTCAAGAAATATAAAAAGAACAAAAAAAAATAAAGAAAGCACATTCTGTGCCGTGAAAAACTCCATCTTGACATGTGTTTAATATTTGCTACGTGGCAAAACGGCTTTTTTTTTCTCCGAGTGTTTCAACGCAAAACTCGTGGGACGAGGAGATGTGATCAAGCGTGCTGTACAGTAATTTAAACGTGCACTTCAAACACTGGAAATGCTTTAAGTCAAATGAATAAAGCAATTGTGATCAGCGTTGTTCCTCCACGCACGTGCTAAATGTACAATTACAGGAGCCTCACTTATTACCGCAAATTTTCTGTCGAGGTCTGTGTCCCTTTCCACGTCTTTCTCAATCGCTCTTCAAAGCCCAGTTTCTCCCTGTCAACGCAGGACACCACTAGCTGTTGAGGCGGCTCTGACTCTCGCCAAAAGCAAGGAATAATCTCGACATTGAGCACCTGACGACGGCTGCTTGCGTTGTGGCCGAAACATCGTGAGAATTATTATATATATTTTTTTGCTTCCATTCTACGTGACTTTACCGAAAGAACCAAGAAGATGAATCCCTGCAGTCACGAAAGCTTTAAATCGAAAGTTATTCCATTATTAAAAAAAAACTGAAACAAATCTCTCTATATGTAAACAGGAATTAATCTCGGTGTGCCAATGCTTACATGTTACTCGATACAGAACAATTGTTTTTTTTAAACTCCACAATGCATCAATTCCAACCCGATAATTTCCACAATGTTGTTAAGCTGGCTTGTAGTAGGGATTGTTGGTGTAAGGCACTACTACTACCTCGAGAGTACACGGTACGCCTATCCACAACAAGCCTACATTATTAGTTCCCAGTATTCATCCTATATTCCTATAATAACAACAACAACGAAAGTATGACAAGGACAAAAATATGGGGAAATAACATGGGGGCATTCTGGCCCAAATTAAGCACTAAATACGTTGATATATGGATATCTACAATGCGCAAGAGTGTATGTTGAACATTGATGATGTTACTGACATCTTTGCTGTGCAATGCATTGACATTTGTATACCAGTGGCTTGTACAAGCGGGCAAGCCATTGTGGTCACAGCTTGCCTTACATTTGTGCGTCATTTATAGCCAGTGTCACTTTTATGGTCCCTTTGACAGCAGCTAAAAAGAGTACCTACTCTGAAGAGTAACTGATTTGCGATTCTCTGCCTTGCATCTCCAAAAACACAGACGTAAAACATTTAATATCAATATTAATAAAAAACTTATGGCCCCTTTTCTCAATCCACTGCTGGATGATGGGCCTCCATGTCAGTCATGGGTTTATATTCTTAGGTTTTTTCGGTAAAGCCACGTAGGTAAAACATTTAAATTAATAAAAGTAAAATAAAAATAAAATTAAAATCACGACGTTTCGGAGGCAACACAATCTTCCGTCTTTAGCAGGACCCGTCACAGCTCTATAGCTGTATCTCACATGATTTTTATTTTATTTTTATTTTACTTTTATTAATTTAAATTTTTTACCTACATGACTTTACCGAAAAAACCTAAGAATATGAATCCTTGCAGTCACGAAAGCTTCAAATCGAGAAGTCATGGGTTTGTTTCTTGACCATACCTCACCGTGCTGGTCAGTGCCTATTGGTGAAAAGTGTAGAGGCCCGGGCCTGGTTTGGAGATCGCTTGTCAGCGACGTTTAGAGCGGTCTTCTTCACTCATTTTCAGAGGGGGGGGGGAGAGGGCAACTTTCGCCGTTAAGACATCGCAAGTGTAAGGGCCGTCACACATTTGAAACCATTGGTGTTTGAGAGCACGACGATGATGGGGGGGTGGGGGGGGGTTCACACGTTGTGTATTGTCGGGGGCCGCACGTCAGGGGCCGCGCTAGTGGGCCCTGCGGGGGCCTTGCAATGAAGGACGCTGACCCAGAATATCAATTACTGTGCAAGCCAAATGAGATGTGTTCAAGAAGGAGACTGGTGCCCGTCATGGAAATGTCGAGTGTCCATGACTGGCTCAAGGCCCCCTATAGAGCTCAGAAGTAAACCTTAATAGCAGGAGCACGAGGACACTCTATGAACTTTGATTTGAATACCATAAACGTGCAATGTTACTCAGTACAGTATGGTATTGTGTAATACAGTAAGGTGCATTGTTCAGAAATCAACAGGTTAAGTCACGTAGGTAGAAAAAGAATAGTTCACGATGTTTCGATCGCAACACAAGCAATCGTCATCAGGTAGGACAACCACAGCAAGAAAAAACTGCTTTAGTAGGCGAGAGATCTGACGTGGCACGAGGTTATATAGTAGGCCTCGGAATTAGGGGGGAGAGAGAACGGGGGGAGGCGGAGCAGAAAGTGCTCATATCGAAATTTCGATTTAAAGCTTTCGTGACTGCAGGGATTCATCTTCTTGGTTCTTTCGGTAAAGTCACGTAGAAGGGAAATAATAAAATAAAAATAAAACGTAATAAAATACAATTCTCACGACGTTTCGGCCACAACACAAGCAGCCGTCCTCAGGTGAAGAACAGGTCTGTCGGAAAGACAGCGTCTGAATGAACACCACCAAGCTTGGCAGCGTATATTTAAGCTGGGTTAGAGGAGGAAGAGCGCCTTGACAAAGACGCTGTCTTTCCGCAAGACCTCTTCTTCACCTGAGGACGGCTGCTTGCGTTGTGGCCGAAACGTCGTGAGAATTGTATTTTATTATGTTAAATTTTTATTATTTTATGATTTCCCTTCTACGTGACTTTACCGAAAGAACCAAAAAGATGCTTATATCCACTGTCGTCAGTAGGTTATAAAGGCACGTTTGCCGTCGTCTTTCCACTGCTGCTTGAATGGCTCGTGACAATATGCCAGCGACTCTGGTCCAGTGAAGCTGTAATCACTCTTCACACCACAGTGCTACCATTTCATCACCGTGTCCATGTGTAAAGTCGTCCCCCAGAGCGCGTTCCCTTTCTTGGCTGCCTGTGGGGCCAGCAGCACTGCGACCGAACCTGCCGAGCAGAGCACCTCAGAGTCTTTGTCCAGATTTAAGGGGAAAGCAACATTGGCAGTGCGTTAATTGAATTTCTTGCATCTGGCACAGAAGGGATTGTTAAGCACTAATGGGTATACAATTAAAGAGTCTGGCTGCAGCCCTAAGTGAGACCTGCTCAGCGGCTGCGGTTGACAGACTTGCTCCTCGGCGCCGATGTTGGTGCTCCGATGGTACACATTGCCAGGCGGCTGTTTCGCATTTGATTTAGTCTGCGGGCGCGCATCGTGGATGCTGCTGCGCCAGAGTGGTTAGCGCGCTGTACTTGGAATGCATAGGTCGCTTGTTTGTATCCTGCCAAGGCAGCTGAAACATTGCCGCAAATGTATTCATTGTCCTCTGTCTAGCCAGTCGTACAAATGGGTACAGCGCAGCGAGTCGATCGGCAGGCCGCGTGTGGTGGGATGAAATTTGGGCACCGACCTCTTCCAAAACGTCTCTCCAGCGTGGCAGAGGAAGCCAAAATCCCCCCCCCCTCACCCCCCCAAGAGCTGCTCTCTAGAGCTATCTCTAGTGGGGGCTCTTCTGCCGGTAGTGATTTGAGCAGAGTATTGCAGGGCCATACCTTTGCAATTTTAGCATCTAACTCATTGCTGCTGTCGGAGCATCCCAAACAGCTGGCATCCAGAGGTACTTTCCTGCCTTTGTTCAACTGAGATAGGACCATATGTCTAAGGAAATAGGCAATCACTTTTCTGTGTAATTCTATGGGCTCTCCAAACAAATTAAACGTCCTGCATTTCAAACCGGACAAGTTAATGATCAATTTTCCATAAAAGTGCACATTAATTATGTATGACTTTTGAAACTAATCATGGCTTCAAGCATTGCCACGTGGATGGATGATGTTTTCCAGGGATGTCATCGATCTAAGTTTGATAACATGCCTGCAGGTGCTTCTATAAACAACGTTACTTGCACATTTATTTCAAAACTTTATACGGCTTCATTTTTTTCCACGCCCAGTTCCAAAGTAACACTTAATTCAGTACACATTAAAATTGTATTAAATCTACAATATCATTGGCTCTCAAACACAGAGATTAATTATATTGTTTAATGTAATAGATTTGTTTTAACAATCCAAACATTTAAATTAGAATCACTTATTGAGCCACGTGACACATTCGTACACGTACCTCGCATTTAGAAATGTGAGTGTCGATATAGCTGATCATCTCTGCAGGATAAATACAATAATTTTAGATTTGAAGTTTTCGTGACTGCAAGGATTCATACTCTGTTTTTTTCGGTAAAGTCACGTAGGTAAAAAAATTAATTAATTAAATCACGACGTTTCGACACTTAAGCGGTTGTGCTTTCGCTAAGTTGTCCCCACCTGAAGAAGGACGCTTGTGTTGCGCCCGAAACGTCGTGATTTAATCTATTTACATTTTTTACCTACGTGACTTTACCGAAAAAAACAAAGAGTATAAATACAATAATTCAGGGAGCTCAACGGTGGTTCTCCTATGGGCTCAGACCCACTCACCACAGGAATGTGGAATTACCAGCACTAACTCATTTGAACAGGACACCCCTAAGATTTTCCACCGAATATTTACACTTTGTAATGGTTTCGATTTAAAGCTTTCGTGACTGCAGGGATTCATCTTCTTGGTTCTTTCGGTAAAGTCACGTAGAATGGAAATAATAAAATTATAAAAATAAAACATAATAAAATAATTCTCACGACGTTTCGGCCACAACGCAAGCAGCCGTCCTCAGGTGGAGAACAGACTGTCTCCTCGACAGACCTGTTCTCCACCTGAGGACGGCTGCTTGCGTTGTGGCTGAAACGTCGTGAGAAGTTTATTATGTTTTATTTTATTATTTTATTATTTCCATTCTACGTGACTTTACCGAAAGAATAAAGAAAATGTGTAATGGTTAACACAGCATGTTGAATTACTTGAGCAAGTTCCATTTCTGTATTGTTCCTATGAACGACATTTATCAATGTGTTAACACATCGCACTACACAGGCTGTTCCCCTGCTGCCCCCCAAATGGAGCAGCCTGTGTCTCACGTAATCGGCTCTTGATAAACCACTATGTACACAAGCCACTGCAACACGCCCGGCATTACATTTCCTTTGCAAAGTGGATGTGGAGGCCATAACCTCTTAAATGCCTCTAAAGGATGCTCAGCATGGGATGAAGCCAAACTCTGACCCCAGCCCCCACCCCTCTTTTCTGGCTGTCCGCTTATCTGACATGCCACCGCATGCAGCCCAACTTCAAACGCACATGGCTCGGCATATGGGAGCGATTATGGTTGTCTGGCTTGGCTCACAAATAATGGCAGTCCCAGCAGTATGCATGTGCACGCAAGTACACACGCAAATATGCGCTTAAACACTCGAACATAAAACAAACAAACAAAGATCCCTTGTATATCCTGAATGGACTGCTGAGCCAAGTGAAGTTAGCGAGCACCTATGAAGACCGGCATGGCAAGCCGAAGGGGTGGTGTTGCCAGTACCCAGCTCGTGTGCCTTTGTCACCCCGGTGCATAAAGACGGCTCCCCCTCCCTGGCCAATAGATTAGTGTACATGGAAAAGTGCCCTACAAGATCTAACATGGTACAATAATCATGGTACAAACGTTGATGTATCGATCGATTAAAATCGATGTTCATGCTCTTGATACACGCGTAAATTTGTGCACGTTAGAATATATGATTTACAATACGTGCAAAATTATACACAAATTGTCTTCCAATCTTACACTTAGGATGAACTGAGATACATTGCAAAGTAAAAACAATGCAAATGAGATGGCAAAACATTTGATCGAATAACTTGCATTATAACCAACCCCTAATAAATGTCAAGACATGGGTAAATGATGACATGGCTGGTATAAAATCGATGGTGTGGACATCACCATACCCAGCCTGCCATTCGCACCCCAGTCCTGATAGCAACACAATGCACCAGGTACGCATTTAATGTGGAGTATACTTCGAGGTAACAGAGAACAGCAATAGGTAAAATCACGGCCGATTATGATGAAACCAGAACAAATACCACTCGCCACAAACATGCATGCCTGGGAATTGAAAACCAGCATTGGATATGTTTGTTGATCCATTTATAGATGCCCCAGTGGTTTCTGAGTGACCCCTTCCCCCTTTTATTTTTTGAACACGCGACTGAAGAAAGTGCAAGCGTTGGCTTTTTATCTTACAGAGCCGTTACATCAAAGTGAACGTGTTCAGAATGGTGGGAAACATGTTGAGACTTTGAAACACAAATGTAGTTTCCGCCATAAATATATCCATGTTATTTTCACGGTGCATCTATAAATGGATTACTCTGCAGGTAGAGGCACTTCATACGTACATGGAGGGTTCACAGATACGATTTGATGAAAACACACACATTCGCTGACCCGAGGACACTCACAGCCCCAATTAGGTTTAGTTGAGTAAATGTATCCATAGCCCTGGACAAAAACAAACAAAATATGCCTTGCAGTGCCGTTTCTCCGAGTGGAAGAAGCTGCGCCACGTCACTGCAATGCATTCAACAGAATTCTGCAGATGCGAGAGGTCAACCACACGCATTGTTCGCCAAACTCTGTTGGACAAAGACCCCAGTGTGCACCGCTAATGGGGAGAGAGCTTGTGTCAGTGTCATTAAATGTAACATTGTGTC